CCTGTATGTTGGTGGGTTGAGTTAAGCTTTGAATGATGGTTATGGATTTTTTATAAGTCAGAGTGTTTTAAATACGGGGCACTCTTGATAGATACACATATATAAGTGTGGAAGTGATGCTGCTTCCTCTGAGATGGGATTCGTCTCTAGAGTACTTATAAAATTGAAATACATGCACAAAGGCCCAAAATGTGCCGGCACTAAAAGACACTGAAATTGTATGATATTTGCGAGTTATACTACTGGTTTGTTAGATAACTTATGTGGTTTAAGGCTATAAGCTACCATGGAATTTGATGGATTTTATAGTAGTGTGTACTCTAAGTGAATGTTCAAATCAAAAGATATTTTCAATGTATGCAAATATCATACAATTACCTATTATTTTTTATATTATTTTAAAATGGTTGAGGAAGTGCTAGTATTTTAATATAGTAAAATACTATTGCATATTTCAAAATAATATACTTGTGTCATTTTCTTAAGTTTTAAATAAATAGAAAGAGAAAGTAGTGCGTTTTAGTCCCACATTGAAGAGTGGAGTGTGAAAATTGAAGAGTGGAGTGTGAAAAATGTAGTGTTATCATACCTCATGTTCATAGAACAAAGGAGAGAGTACGAGAATTTATTCAGAGCACACTAAGTGTGTGACATGCGGGCGAGGGCGAGGGTAAAAGGGCGCTCAATAGTGTACTTCACATGCTCGCATCAACACATGAGGTGCCCCTCGCTCGAGCATATATAGGATTCCGGCTTGAGGCTCACATTTTGCATGACATTGCCTGCACGTGTACGTGGAGGGAGATACGACAATTAGCCTTTGCGATAAAGGGCATGTTCACAGATTCAACAGTTGAAAACCATTGGATGGTGACTATTGGAAATCCAACAATCACGTCAAGTCATGTCCACTTCGCATGCTCGCATCAGCATATGAGGTGCCCCTCGCTCGAGATGCATACAATTCTGGCTCAAGGCTCAGTCGAATTTTGCGTGACACTACTCATTCCCGCACGTGTGTGTGGAGGGAGATACAACAACTAGCCGTTGCAATAAAGGGCATGTTCACATATTCAACGGTTGATAATTATTGGATGGTGACTGTTGGAAACTCAACAATCACGTCATGTGAACATTATTGACTGTTCATATGAACATCCACTATTTACTCTTTAAAAAAGACTTTTTACTGTTTTTTTGAGCCACCTTTTTATGATTTCAAACCACTTTCTGTCTCTAAATTCAGGAAACTCTGATGCTAAATAGTACAAAATTAGAGGAGTATCATGAGCGAACTTCTGTTTACAGATATCCCAAGTACTAATTTGTGTGGGTTACCTTCCACACATTGTTATTCTACTGTGTAGGGGCAAATTACAGTTCGCTGTGAATAGAAAAATTCATTTTAGTATTATTTTTTCTTTCATTCTTTTCTTATAACACATTCTACCCCCATTTCACCTCCTTTCGCAAGATGACATTGAAAGTGTGGAACGTGGAGACTAAGAAATAGTGATCAGGGACTACGACCACAATCAAATGCCTTGAGGAATTTAGTTCCTGTCGCAGATTAGTAAAAATTTAATAATTTCAAAATTTCAAAGTTTTAGAGAAAATCTATTTTAAATTTTTTAGAGAGAGAACTATATCAAATTGTAAGTTTTAGAGACAAAAATTATCTAAAAATTTTTTAGAAGAAAAAACTATCAAATATCTAGTTTTAGTAGGACAAACTATCTCAAAATATTTTAGAGAGAGAAACTATCTCAAATTTTTTAAAAAGAGAAGCTGTCTCAAAGCTTTTAGAAAGAGAAGTTACCTCAAATTTCAAATTTTCAACGAGAAATTATCTCAAATTTAGAGAGATATACTATCTTCAATTTTTAGAGAGAGGAACTATATCAAATTTCAGATTTTTAGAGAGAGAAAGTATCTTAAATTTTTAGAATGAGAAACTATCTTAAAGTTCTTAGAGAGAGAAGCTATTTCAAATTGCAAATTTTTAGATAGAGAAAGTATCTCAAAACTTTTAGAGAGAGAAACTATCTTGAATGTTAAGTTTTAGAAGGCAACTATCTCAAAATTTTTATAGATAGAAACTATCTCAAAATTTTTAAAGAGAGAAACTATCTCAACGGTTTTTAAAAAAAAATAGCTATCTCAAATTTCAAAATTTAAGATAGAGAAATTATTTCAAAATTTCTCGAGGGACATACTATCTCAAATTTTAAGTTTTAGATGAGCAACTATACCAAAGGGTGAAACTATTTAGAAAATTTTAGATAGAGAAACTATCTCAACTTTAACTTTATACATGGGATATTTTTGTCATAAAAAAGAATTTTTTTATTTAAGAGGTGTATGCAAAAATAAATAATATTGGGTTCAAGTATCCTATAATCTATTTATATTTTTTTGTTCATGTTGTATTCTCTCTCTGTCCTATCAGTTTCTAAGTGTGTTTACCAAATATGGGGAAAAGGAGGCTTGAATGATTGTTTCCCGGCCGATTGTAGGAACATGTATGTATTTTCTTGTAAATGTTTTTCTGTCAAACTATTTCATGCGAATCAATCAAAACTTAAATTTTTTTTTTGTTTTCATTTTTTTTATTATCACTCTAAAGTTAGTGATATTTATGATGAGATACTTGTTCTCTATATTAGAATGTTTTGTGGGTGATGCAGATTTGGTGGTTTATTTGGGAGATTTGGTGACTGCAAATAATGTGCCCATTTCCAATGCAAGTGCTTATTGGGAAGAGGCCATCTCTCCTACAAGGGAGAGGGGCATCCCATGGGCATCCATATTTGGGAACCATGATGATATGCCCTTCGAATGGCCCACTCAATGGTTTTCCACATCAGGGATGCCTCCCATACAATGTCCACATAAATGCCTACATTTGCCATCGTCAGGTGGAGTCCCTCACTTTCTCCTGCATAATCAAATGTGGTGTACAGCTCTCTTTTTTGGTCAATGCTCATTTATCATCTTCATTATCATCAAAGCTTTTTTTTAATTATTTGGGTTGGTTATACGAACCCCGATCAATGCTCATCACTGAACTTAATTTTTATATCAAATTTCCTCACAACTTTCTTGCGCATTACATTACAATTAGGAGTCTAAAATTTCCTCACGATTTTCTTGAGCAATACATTACATTTAGGAGTTTAAAATATTAAAAATGATAATAGACTAATTGGTATTGGAAATAGGAGTTAGCTTTTTTTTTTGGTTATGAGCCCTTATCCATTTTTTAAATCATTAGTGGTTTTTTAAAGTGTTAGGTGAGAATAAAAGCCTAGACTTTAGTCTAAATGGCACAAGTAGTGCTACCACCATGACCTCAACCCCATTCTCAAGTAAGAGTCTAGTTAAAATTAGAAAATGATATTAGAAATAAATAAATAAATAAATAAATTATAATAAGCTCTCTCATTCTTTTAATTTTCAATGACTACATATTGCTGGGGCTTGTAGGTTGGGAACTGTAATTTGTGTGGAATTTGAGACAATCGTTGATCATTAAGATGAATTATGGGAAGCAGTGCCAGCCTAGGAAGCTAGGTATACAATATATCGGGTCCAAATACATATTTAAAAATATGAAAAATAAATAAAAAATAATTATAAAAAACACTAGCACAATGATTAGAAATACTTCTTTATAAGATTCTATTACTTTTTAAAAGCATTTTGGAACTTTCGTATTTTCCTTTTTTTAAAAACTTTTATGAAATATTCAATGTATAAATCCACTTTTCAAGTAACCTCTTTTATAAAAGTTTTCCATCTTATTTAATCTCCTAATGATTTTATTAATCATTTTAACTTTTTTGGATTTTTAAAGATTTTTTGGATAGTTTTCTTTAATTTTTAGCCTTTTTTTTTTTTTTTTTTACAGTGCAACTGACTTAGCTCAGCCAATTGCATAATACATTTGCCGATTCGATTTTCTGTACACTGATGGGAAGCTTTTTTCTTTTAAGGCATATACAGGTGATAGTGGCTGCTACTTTCAAGGAACAACTCGTAAAGAACTGATGGAAAATGATTCTTGTAACCCTCAATCTATGTCCTCTAGTGGTCCTCATAGCCTTTGGCCTAGTGTATCAAACTATGCATTGCCAGTTGAATCGTCAAGAAAGCCAGGTTTAGTAGTTGCCCTCCTATATTTCCTAGATTCAGGAGGTGGCACCTATCCTGAGATCGTCTCTTTTGCGCAAGCAACATGGTTTGAACAGATATCTCAAAAGCTCAATCCTGATTTAAGGTAATCAATGTCTCTCTTTTCACATATTTTTTTTTTTTTTCGGTAAATCAATGGGGGAGAAGGCCCTCTACCCGTTTTTTATTAATAAAAAGTGAGAAAAAAATACAGCCCACTATTTTACAACCTTGTAATAGGGGACTTGTGCCAAGTCTCTCTGTTCACTTTGCTAGCATTTTTCTCGCTCCTTTTTCCCCTTGATTTTGTCTCCAAGCAAAGCATTAGTACATCTATACAGAAAAAGAAAGGCTTATTTATTGAAAATTTCTTATAGATAAGAAGAAA